TACATACTGATTACTGGTTAACTTATTGTTTCAACTCGGATATAGCCAGGTAACAGAAATTGGGGGCTCACTCCGGTAACAAAAGCTAAAGAAAGGGAATCCAGAATCTGTTTGTCAAATTATGAGATTATAATTGTGTTGCCTCCTATTGTGTCAAACCAATCTTGTATGGAATGTCGCCCATTTACTATGGTAGCAATGCCTTCAAGTGTCGAGCGTATTCCCCAAGGTAACACAAGTTGTCTCCCTTGGCAAGGTAGTCCATTCCCTTTTCGAACGACACGTTATATTAGTGTTTAATCACAAGGGCATTGGTTGGACTGATTTCAGATCAGAAACATGCACGTTAGTGTCAAAATAATCCAAGAGTGTCAACACAAGAGCTTCTCTGAAGTATCTGACGCAGATAATGAAGTGGCTGTCCCACATGTAAATATGTAACTCCAGCTTCTTACAATCAACCAACTCCCATACACAAACCGATGCATATATTCACGCTGGGTGTTGTCTGAATGTTCCGTTTAGAATACCCATCATTATATATAATTTAATACTAAACACAACTGAATAATTCAGATCATTCGTCTCATGATACCGCCTCCGTGGTGTAGTGGTTAGAGCGTCCGCCCGGAGAGCGGAAGGTCGGGGTAGCGTCATACCAACCGACGTTAAAATATGGTACTTGTTGGTCCCTGCCTGGTGCTCGGCTTTAATGGGGTACAACAAGGACTGGTCGGCTTGGAGTCAGTATTATGCTTCCGGGTGGGGTATTCATGCTTCACTGCGGCACGGTATCTCATAGCGCTAACACTATGAGTCAGGTTCATTATAAGAGTAGGGGTGCATTTTCTAATCCCAATTAGCCTACATTGTTTTTGAATGCGAAATGGGATGTAGGCGAATAGAGACTAAACCATAAAACCAGCTTAATTCTTGGCTAGTACAAGCAGCCACACATACACACGCCTGCACGTGGTCATATGAGCGAAATAGTCTTAAGTACGACGTTAAACCCATTTCACTTCACCTCGTTTCATGATTTCAAATATCAAATAGATTTCGGGCCTGCCCGTCAGTGAAAGCACACACAGACGCTTAAGTTAGTCGGGGCCTCTTACCTCTGACAGCGGCCAGGTACGTGGGCTGACTTACTGACATGCGACCTGACTGTTGTAGTACTTCTGTGTAGGTAGATTGTATATATGTTACAGTCAATGTGTAAAATGAGGCAATTTCCTGAAATTCCAGTCAATTTACAAATTGCCTGAAAAATTACTCGATTTATTTGACAGACTGACTGAAAGTCAGTTTCAATGTGTATTATCATTATTAGTGTATAAAACTTTTAGAGTAAAACCTAAGATACAGAGACTCTCAGGGACATCTTTGTTGACGTAAAACAATATTTCAACAATATTTCAAAATATAAAAAAGCATTGGGTTTTCGTTTGCACAAGTGAGACTTTCGTGGCACCTGCTGTTGGATTTGACTCCAGCTTTAAAGTAATGCATTTGTTGGTTGCACACTGCTTGTCACTCCTAGAACAGTAGTAGACACTTCATACTCCCCAAAACCATTGAAACTTAAAGTCAATATGTCAAATATATCGACCAATTTACATTACACATATTCTGTCGTGTTATGGACTCACTCGTGTCTAACCCTTGAAGAAAAAATAAACCCAACTGGATACATGTGATTCAGATTTTTTTAAATTTCAGGACCACTTTGAGTGAGTGAGTTTTACGCCACTTTTAGCAATATTCCAGCAATATCACACTGCTTTACACATTGTACCCATGTGGGAATCGAACCCGGGTCTTCGGCGTGACGAGCGGACGACTTTACCACTAGGCTACCCCACCGAGCCAGGGCTCCTAAGTTATTGGCTTGATACATTGACGTTCCCTCCTTCAGTCACAAGACAGAGACGTGGCCAAGTGGCCGGTAACACTGTATGTAGGTAAACAGAGTGGTGTCCCTTTGTCGTATCAGGATCTCGTGTCCTCACGTCTGTAAGTGTGTATGCGTGGTTATATCTGTAGTTATGTGACAGTGTAACTTATCTACAAAGGATGCTGTATTCGTATAACATTGTTTCCGTAAATGTGTGGCCAATTCCACCAGTTCAGAATTTTTGAGCATAGAAGAATTGAATATTGGCTAACAGGCTTTTCTACACTAAACACCTTGATTGTTTTAGGAGACAACACAATATTAATCCCATAAATTTGACAAATACATTTTTCTCATATTGTTCTCCGGGGGAGCCCCCAGTTTCTGTTACCTGGCGATTTCCGAGTTGAAACAATAAGTTAACCAAAAATACCAAGAGGCAACAAAAGACGGTAACTACTGTAAACTTTGCCAACATTTTTCACTTGCGGCAGCTGCTCTCTCCTGTTCGTTCTGTTTAGGAGCGAGATGTACCCTGGACAGCAACTGTCACGGTGTGTTGGAGAAGGTTAAAGCCATCCTCACGACTTCCCCTGTCCTCCCAGCCCAACAACTGGAAAACATACAAACTGTAGGTGCTAGTGACATCAAGAACACTTGACGATTGAAAAAGAAAGTATTGCTCTGTTGGCAGCTGTGCAGCACTCTGAAGTGGGCATGTCTGCGCTGATCACCATCCTGTCATGATAAAATGAAGCACAAAAACGAACATCTGCATCGCGTCTTTGCCGGAATCTGATTTAGACATTAAGCATAGTGAAGTTTCAAACTTTATTGCTTATGCAGCATGAGGTATTGGTCGTGTGTGATCAGTTTTAACTGCAAACATGAGTCACATTTTTGTCACGTGTGTCTTGACTGTCATTATGATTAATTCCGTTAAAAAGTACAACTTCGTGTCAACATTATTTCATGGTGTCTTCGCTAACATCGTCGGGAAATATTCGAAATTTACAGTGAAACATGTGAGTGTGTCGCTGTACAATTCAGTGACAAAAACACTGAAGATATTCTGAGATTGTTTCAAACTCAATTAAACTTTTTTGGACGTTTTGAGGCGTCTGTCACGCACAAGACCGTTCCGTTAGGACGACTGTGTTACGGGAACGTGCTCAAATTGCCTCTGAAGTCGGAGATGAGCTCCACAGAGCTACAGGTGTTCGTCCACGTGTTGTGATTGATGGCCCACACACCAGACATGTTGATCCCAGGTGCCCTCTTTGCCTGTAACAACAACAGCCCACGCCACCGTCAACAACCACCGACCACTTGACAACGCAGGTGAATCCACGTGATATTAGTGAGTTTGACTTTTCTTGGTAAATGACGCGATTGACAGCTGGGCGCTTTGGTTGACCATCTAACAAAGTCAATGGTCATCTGACGTTCAACGACGACTTTCAATCCCAATCTCATTTTCATATTTTTAAAATGTCATTGAATACACAAAGAAAAAATGATTATGATACTTTGGTCTTTAGTGAGTGTGTGAGTATGGTTTTACGCGGCTTTTAGCAATATTCCAGCAATATCACGGCGGGGGACACCAGACATGGGTTTCATGGCCTTTAGTACCCGCTATGTTGGTGATAGTGTATGTTCGTGAAGTACAAACGAGGATTTAGACCATGTAGGCGAGTGATCATATTCAGTCTCAGTTCCAGCACTTGTTTTTGATAGATATGTTGCAGTGGCACTTAGAACAGCAGGGATACTAGCTCTTCAGTGACTTCCTGGTGATGTGTAACATGAATCACACACATGACTACTGAAGCAGTGCGGTACTGATGTCTGCAACAAGGGGTGCGGTGGGGTAGCCTAATGGTTAAAGCGTCCACTCGTCACGTTGTACACCCGCGTTCGATTCACCACATGGGTACAATGTGTGAAGCCCATTTCTGGTGTCCCCCGTCGTGATATTGCTGGAATATTGATAAAGCGGCGTAAAACCTCACTCACTCGCAACAAAGCCCATATAATACACAAATGCCAACATTCGTACGTCAACACAGCGGTGGTTGAGGTCGCTGTATACAACAGTGACAGCGTGCAGTCAGTGCGGTTATTTCTCTCATGATTTGGGGGGGGGAAATAAATGTAAGTCATATTTACGTAATTTTGAATAAAATTAATCAAATATTCTGAAGTCTACATATTTTGTTCCACATTTTCACTTTTCATGTCCGTATACGAAGACATGGTGTTTCATCACTGACAAGCTGTGGTGGTAACAAATCTCGCTATATACAGTACCGGGCAAAACAAAGTATCCAGCAAGTTGATGGCGGCTAAAAACCACAAACAAGAAATGGCTATTGAGATGTATTTTATAACTTAGACGTGTTGTGGACAATACATTAGCAGTTTGAAAATGACTTCTTTGATGGGCATTTTAGAAGTTGGTGTGATGAAGGATAATGATAATTTTATGAAGATTCAATATTCAAATGTATACTTTTAGTTACATATCATCGTAACCCTACTCCCTGGATCGTCCCACATAATACCAACCACTGAATTTGTTAGTCTCCATTGTTTCACATGTCGCCGACACACAGCTGGAACATTGTAGAGGGTGTTACACGTAACAACAGAGAAAACAAACAAACAACCCGTATATAACGGCTGAAATTCCAGGTGAAAAGTATTCATGTTCATATCAGTAATTGTGTTGTTGTTGTTTTTTAGATAAAAAGAAATCCCGAGCATCTCGTTGCATCACTACCAAGGTAGTTTCCAGCTTCCGTTACAAATCTACATCACACAAACGTGAAACAGATGGAGGAATCCCAGGGCCGTGTTTCACAAAGCGATCTTAGAGCCACGACTATCTGTACTCCTGGGCCCACTTGCACAAAGCGATCTTAGGGCCACGACTATCTGTACTCCTGGGCCCGCTTGCACAAAGCGATCTTAGGGCCACGAATATCTGTACTCCTGGGCCCACTTGCACAAAGCGATCTTAGGGCCACGAATATCTGTACTCCTGGGCCCACTTGCACAAAGCGATCTTAGCGCTACGCTGATTGTAACTCCCATTCTCTAACTTAGACTTACGACAGTCGTAGCGCTAAGATCGCTTTGTGCAAGTGGGCCCTATACTGTAACATAGACTTACGACAGTCGTAGCGCTAAGATCGCTTTGTGAAACAGACCCCAGGCCTCATGGGTTTCACGCAAGGGAGACAAAACAACGTCACTAGGACACACTCGCATGTCACGGCCACCTGCAGGTGCATCACATGAAACACGTGCGTGAGAAACCACAACATGTTCTGGCAGCTTGGAACCAAGTTTGTTTATGAAAATGGTCCTCCTTTAACAATGTGTCACAACTTGCTGATAATTTGTCAACGTTAATTTATCTCCTTCCATATGTTGGTAATATCAGCGTTTCGTATTGTCACATTGGCACTGTGTTTTGAACCAAAATTACATGGCACATTTTGGAAGCATCCTCAATGGTTAAAAATAAACACCTTTTTCAGCCCGTTATGTCGCTATGGCAACTCCAGGCTCATCTGTCGACAGCTGAGATCCTGTAAATTCAAACATATCAATAATATATGGATGATTTCTTGAGAATAACATATTTTGTTCTGGGGAGGTAATTGTCTACAAAAATACGCATTGTAAAGACATATTCTATTTGTTTTCGTACCCTGTCAACAACAACAATTGACAAGAACAACAGCTGGACACAAGGACAAGCAGTTCCTCTTAGATCTTAATGTTATTTTATAAAAAAACTCTACGTTTTCTCTAACAACCACCTCTGTCAAGGCAAGCGATTTAGCAACGTATTTGTACTATTTAACACTTGGATGATGAACACAGGTACATACAACCTAAACACCTAAAACTTGTGGTTAATTAATACCGAACGATTAAAAGTGGCCAAAAAGTCGCCTGCTTCCCTCTCGCCCGCCAACGAAACCACAGACAGGTTACGTAACTCTGTCGCCAGAGCACTGCAGTGACGTCATATGAGGAACGATTTTCAGTTAGTTGTATAGAAAGTGTGTAGCACGCTCATCATTTTGATGATCTCTCGACATGAACGACGACATGCCGAATCGTTGCTTTGTCGTCAATTGCTCCTAGGGGTCGGGTGATGGTGTCACCATGCACAGATTTCCACAGGACCCCGCAGTTCGTGCTAAATGGGTAATGTTTGTGAGTGCAAAGCGAGCGTTGTGGAAGCCTGAAACGATATCTTACTTGTGTTCAGATCGCTTCACGGAAGTTAAAGAATCAAAACTACTTACTAGTTATAGTAAAATATGTATATGATTGATGACCATAAAGATTTTCCATAACACAACTTGTAACATAACGATTTCTTCCTCTGAAGTGAGGTTGTGGTCGAAGTAACAATAATATTGTAAGTAGTATTATATTGACACCCACCTCGCTGCCAGGAGAGAAATTGTTATGTTATACGCTATGTCATGCAAAATCCTATTGGCCATCAATAAAATACATATTTTACTACCAGTAGAAAGTAGTTTTGATTTTGTAACTCGGTGAAAACAAACCTAAATAGCATTTATCCACAGACTGGCGGATGTTCCCGACAGGGCGCCGCCATTTTTGAAAATCGTAAAGTCTGTTAGAATTAATGAGATTATAGTTTGTTTTCATCAAGTTAGAAAATCAAAACTACTTTCTACTCGTAGTTAAATATGTATTGGAATCATAACCAAAAGGATTTTGCATGACACAACTTATAACATAACGATTTCTTCCACGGAAGCGAGGTGGGGTCGAAGTCACAATACTGCGCGATAAATTTCTTGCTACATTCACATGGTTAATGTCCACTCACCAGTATGTAGATACTAGTCAATGTGCGTCTTTATATTTGGTCTTATAATCCTAATTAGTTTATTATCATACTTTTATGCATTTTGAAACTAAATAAAAGCTGACGATCTGCTGATACTTATAGTGAATTTATAACAGAACTGTAATATCTAGACATTTTATAGTTTGCCAATGTGAATCATAATTCGCACACACACCCTAGTGTATGTTGTCTGTCTCATTACACTTCACGGCGAAAACAATGATTCTGTTGAATGCTACGACAAATGAATAAAAACGAAATGCAAATATTAAAATTAAAACAGATTAAAGTTATAGGAACAATATCAGGCCATTACCTTGTTTGAGGAATGTATCCATCAATATCCACAAAACTGTTCCAAATGATGTGTCTTTTAACAGTTTAATATACGAAAAAGTGATAAATCTTTTCAGGTATTGGTGTATAGTCTCATTGGTCACCCAAGATAGCACACCTGGCAACTAATTGCATAATGTCCGCCTTTCATTAAAACAGTAATTTAGTTAGCCAATAATGGGCAATCAATCAATGTATTGCCGGTTAATCCTTTGAAAGAAGGACGTTGTTTTTACGCAGACACCGACACGGCAGAGTGTATTCAGTATAGATTAGTAAATCTACATACATAAACACTACCTTTTGACAATTCCGCTGTGTAAGATAAAAGTAATTAATCAATCAGCGTGTTATCGGTTAATCCTTTGATCGATGTTTATAATGTTGAATATTTACTCCAGACACAAGAAATGCCAAATGGGAACCTTTGTCGGGTAATCTAAGTGTGTTACCACTAATTATACCCGTTATAAATTCATTAACTGACCATCAAGTGAATGATGACAACTAACATGTGTAGGTTTATACCACCTAACACGGGTTACAACAAGGGAGTATTAATTGCTGTATTGCATGTGAAAACTTATGGGCCGACACTGTTTTGAGAATACAAACAGATTTTTACATGACATGATTAAATATCGAGGTAAAAAAACACAGAAATGGGATCAATTTGGATCAGTCATTATACAAATAGGGCCTGACGACACCAATCAATTGTGACAGAAGCGTCTATGAAAACAAGTTGTAACTCGGAAACTAGGCAAAGCAGGAGACAAAATTAAATGCCAGTAGATTGTGAGAACATATAGCTTTCATTTTCCACAACAATTGTCACGATTTCAGGTTTATACAAGCCTGTAAACAAGATAATTTACCCCCTAAAATGTAGATGAATTCTGCATCGGCCCTCAAAGCTATTCCTCATATGACGTCACAGAGTCGCGCCGCTCTGATTGGTTGAAATTTCGTTCGCGGGTGAGAATTGTGCACTGTTGTCAAAAAAGGTCGATTTAAGTCAATTAAAGGTCGAAATGTGTAGTTTTAATGACGGGGTTTCATTTATAACGATTCAAGTTAGTGATTTATGTATTTTACCCCCTAGGGTTTATGTGACCTTTAAGCAAAGCACGTGGAGTCTGGCCTCAGTTCATACATTTGACCCTACGTTCTACAGTTGACCTTACGTTCTACAGTTGACCCTACACATGTACCTGGTACAGTTGACTCTACGTAGTACAGTTGACCCTACGGGGTACAGTTGACCCTACGTGGTACAGTTGACCCTATGTGGAACTGCACTTTTAATCAGTGATGGAGTACATGTGTACTGGTGAACAATCCACCCACCACGTGGACAGAAATGTCGGTCGTTATGAAGTTGATATTGTTTGGTATGTTATACTTCTAATATCGAACAACAGACTCTGCAATCAGCTTTCTCATTATCATTGACAGGGTTGTGTTGCTGTAACGTATCAATATTACAGCAGGCACTGTAGGCAATGCGAATATAGTCGGCCTGGAGTTGAAGGCTGTGCTGTACGATATTCATCTAGGTCTGAATCGCATCCGTCCATAGGCGCCCGACTCTTGTATATCTATAAGTATCATATATACCTATCTATATAATATATATAACGGCCAGTAAATCGAAATTGATAGTTTCATGTGAAATGTGGAGAGAAATTCTAAATCGATAATTTCTGCAATAATATTTGCAACGGAGCATAAAAACAGTTCTTAGAAGCCAACATGGATAGTGCAAATATACTCATGCAAATAATGGTTGTCACCCCCTTCAATTTTTTTAATTGGAGAGGGGGTGGGGTGTTAGGTGTGTGGGGGTTGAGGTGGGGAGGGGGGTGACAACCATTATTGGCATGAGTATATTATGAGTAAAGACTCGTTCTACTATTGCGGGACTGTAGCCTTAGAGTTGTTTAGGGCTTAACTTCGGGCGAGAATGGACGGCCAAATTAATAAAACCTTCAAATGGGAATAAAATCATCAGATTAGTGATACGTAAGGTACTTCAAAGACGTCAACTGAGTGTACATTGTGCAGTTTATCCAACGGTCAAAGCGATGGAAGTCTTTGTCAGACCGAAACCGAGCCGAGCAGCCATTTTGTTTCGATTTACTGTCACACCTTTTTATATCTTATAGAGATAGGTATATATAATACTTTTTAATAGATAAGAGTCGGGTGCCTATGCATCCATCCTTGTAAGCGTTGAAATCTAGTCATGAGACATGTTCGTCTGAATAGCGATTTAAGTAAATGCCCCAGTGGAGTTTTAGGTATTTACAGCGTCAGAGGGGGATCTGCATATATATGTACATGTATGTGTAATATACACAGGCACCGTGCTAACACTGCCTTCTTGTAGTCAATAGACTTACATGCAATATTCGGTGAGATGTTACAACGGACCATTTATATAAAGTTTCAGACAAGAGAGGTTTAATTCCTTGCACAGATTTTAGCAACGTAATCAAAGGTCAGTTATACATAGCAGATTGGATACTATTTTCTGATTACAATAAGTAATAGTCCTTATCTGAGGAACGATTTTTTTCTCATTGTATGTATTAGCGCAAATACAGATGTCCCCGTCAGTTGTTGATCATCGAAATAGCGTGGTTCTGTTTCAGGTGGGGAGGACTACAGATTCTGACGCATGTTCAGGTTTCATTTTATTTCAAATTCATATTTTCACTCACCTGACTCGTTAAATGTATATTCTTGTGTAACGCTATTTGGCTTAAGGCAATTACAGTCATGTTTGGTGAACATTAACAGCCAAATACTGCTGCGATACATGCCATGTGTACAGATGATATCTTTACACCACGCACCTTTTTCACTGTCCGCTGCCAAGTCGACCTGGGCTGCTCTGTGAGACGAAGAATGAAGTACATGAGTTGATCTTTACACAAAAATCATTTTACATACAGTTAATAAACAATGCTACAGACGGCAGGGCACTGTGACCTGTATTGACGTACTGGTGTTACCTTCGGAAAGTTACCATTCACGTGTCTCTGTGGGTATTGATATACACAATGGTGTATTTCTTTATCATGTGTATAGACTTTATTTATGCTTTGTCACGGAAAATATATATTTTTGATAGAAACTAATAACTGGAACAGGAGCCTGAGGTGGGAGATTTAGACTTGCTTCATTGGGGGCGTTTGCTTTACAGACCGGTAATGGCGGAAGGGGATATAGCATGCTTTAGGGAGTGTGAGTGAGTGAGTATAGTTTTACGCCGCTTTTAGCAATATTCCAGCAATGCCACGGCGGGGGACACAATAATAGGTTTCACACATTGTACCCATGTGGGGAATCGAGCCCGGGTCTTCAGCCTGACGAGTGAAGGCTTTAACCACTAGGCCACCCCACCGCCCCGTTAAGGGATTGTGAGATAGAGCAGGCCATATATAGTAGCACGTGTAACGAGATGTTATGTTGTACTTACTCAGTTACTATATCTGGGGTCGCTGTAAGAGAAAAAAACAAACCTAAATACAAACAAAATATAAATGAAATTCTTCGGATGGTATACACGGAAACTACAAAGAAGAAGGTGCGATGCGAGCAAAGCCCAAATAGCTAGTCATTTGACTGACATGCTTGCTAGGCGCCTTTATTGTATAATATCATTTAACAGATGTTTTAAATCATACATTTTCTGCGCCCTCGGAAACGTAAACATTTAAATTTCGTAAACGTCAAAATCTAAATTTCATCCAAAACATTGGAGATACAACGTGTGCGCAATCAGTCGTCTCGACATCCTTCCAGGAGATGTTTGTCAGCACTAGTTTCCGTTATGGCGTAGATATTGTGTGCGACGTACATGAAATATTCACGAAATAAATCAATCTGTGACGTACGTGTTTGTGTCGGATCTTGTGTGATGTTGACGTGTCTCGCCGACGTCCGATGACGTCGAACCACGAACACCAGCAATAGTATGCTGAGAAGTAGCGCCACGAACCCTGCACAGAAGCCGAGGATCTGTGCGTACCCCAACCTTGACCCTGGCTCTTCCGGTACTTCTTCTTCCTCCTCTGGTGTATCCGGTTCCATCATTTCTGCAAAATGTATGCAAGACTGTCATTAATAACGTTTGTGGGTACATTCACCTTTCAGCTGACGTCAGTATCATCCCATCTATATCAAGGCAACCTCCAACTGATCGAATCTGGACCAGGCAAACCGATGGTTGATAGTATGATGAACGACACCCCAACATGTCCCCCCTAAGAAGTGGCATACTATTATGCCCTTCCCAGAGAGAAATCTATGGCTAAATGACGGTTTACAATAATGATGAACCCTTCAGTTGTGATTGAGAAAGTGAGTGAGTGAGTATAGTTTTACCTTTAGCAATATTATTCTAGGGACACCAGACATGGGCTTCGCGCACTGTACCAATGTGGGGAATCGAACCCGGATCTTCGGGGTGACGCGCGAACGCTTTAGCCACTAGGCTGAACAACCTCCTGCTAACTACTGCACCATGAACGACCTCCTGCTAACTGCCGCACCGTGAACGACCTCCAGCTAACTGCTACACCATGAACGACCTCCTGCTAACTACCACACCATGAACGACCTCCAGCTAACTACTACGCCGTGAACGACCTCCAGCTAACTACTACACCATGAACGACCTCCAGCTAACTACCACACCATGAACGACCTCCAGCTAACTACCTCACCATGAACGACCTCCAGCTAACTACCACACCATGAACTACCTCCTGCTAACTATCTCATCATGAACGACCTCCAGCTAACTACCACACCATGAACAACCTCCAGCTAACTACCTCACCATGAACGACCTCCAGCTAACAACCTCACCATGAACGACTTCAAGCTAACTACTACACCATGAACTACCTCCTGCTAACTACCTCATCATGAACGACCTCCAGCTAACTACCACACCATGAACGACCTCCAGCTAACTACCTCACCATGAACGACCTCCAGCTAACAACCTCACCATGAACGACTTCAAGCTAACTACTACACCATGAACGACCTCCAGCTAACTACTGCACCATGAACGACCTCCAACTAACTACTACACCATGAACGACCTCCAGCTAACTACCTCACCATTAACGACCTCCAGCTAACTACTACACCATGAACGACCTCCAGCTAAACACCACACCATGAACGACCTCCAGCTAACTACCACACCATGAACGTCCTCATGCTAACAACCACACCATGAACGACTTTCAGCTAACAACCACACCATGAACGACCTCCTGCTAACTGCCGCCCCATGAACGACCTCCTGCTAACAACCACACCATGAACGACCTCCTGCTAACAACCACAACATGAACGACCTCCAGCTAACTGCCGCAACGTGAACGACCTCCTGCTAACTGCCGCCCCATGAACGACCTCCAGCTAACTGCCACACCATGAACGACTTCCAGCTAACTGCCGCAACATGAACGACCTCCTGCTAACTGCCGCAACGTGAACGACCTCCTGCTAACTACCACACCATGAACGACCTCCAGCTAACTACCACAACATGAACGACCTCCTGCTAACTACCACAACATGAACGACCTCCTGCTAACTGCCGCAACATGAACGACCTCCTGCTAACTGCCGCAACATGAACGACCTCCAGCTAACTGCCGCAACATGAACGACCTCCAGCTAACTGCCACAACATGAACGACCTCCAGCTTACTGCCGCAACATGAACGACCTCCAGGTAACGAACGTATTAAGCGTGTTTTATCCTAAGCGTTAACGTTTAGTATTTGCATCATTTGGACCTTTATCCCACATCGTACTTCAAAAGGCGTAAAATCACTTCCTGACATCCAGCACCTTACCTGGGGTGTTTGGTCAGAACATGCATTGAGTAAGAAAACAGTAAAGAAATTGCAGAAAGTCTTAACGACTGTGTAGCGGTTAGCGTGATCAATCCGTGATCTCTAAATATATAAATCTGTGGTAATTACAGATAGTTCGACTAGTTGTGTGTTCAGTTGTACTGTCCCTGATGTGAGATGATCACTGCAGCTGGCTTCATTCTGGCAGTCACCGATCGTTAACACGTGTTCCCTATTCTCAAGTTGATTCCTCGGGGTGTTACATTACTGAAGGTGTACCTGCGTGTTTTGTTTCCAATCTCCTTGGATCCATTATTCCCATACATTATAGGTACATTAAACCTCTATTTTCGTACATCTGACGTCAGTATATTCATTAAAGATATAAACAGCTCTGTGTTAAAAGTGTCATGTTTTAAATTAAATTGAAACATAAATCTATCGAATAATTTCTTTTGTGATCTGTTTCACGACGGTTTGAGCAAAACTCTACCTCTACCTTTTGTATGGTATAAGAAAATTAAATGTCGTCCATGCCAGATTAAGATATGTGACCAGCACGCTCGACTATACAGTTTTATACAAAATAAATATTAACTGATGGTTCCCTTTCAAAATGCAAAAAGTGTACATAGTGTTTAAGACTGCCCATGTTACAATCAAAGAGAGATGCTATGTTTACTGGCTGAAATACATTGTACACAACAGAGTACCCCTAGACCTAAAGCCCATTTACATGACAACGCAGGTCGCTCAGCGAGAATTAAACAAATATTCAAAATGTCCATGTGTATATGAACAGAACTAAACGATTTATGCAGGTGGCGCATCTTGGTGCCCATTTCTTGCCTAGATGTCACAACCCTACATTTTACACACGTTTTCACTGGTCGAAAAACAAGCCCTGTCTTACAGCATGGGCAATCCACCTGAAACGTTGATCGTTGTGAGAGATGCATGCACGCGTTAAGGTACATGATTTGAATCCTATGTGAACAGGAAGAAACAATTCATATCAAATGTTTACTTCACATGCATGCAAACCACGTGAGAGTGCTTACATGCGACATGATCATGAGAAAACTTGGTCGATTGCTTGGTGGTTTGATGACCTTCGACTGCATCAATTAATCACGATTATAGTTAAAATACATGGAATTATCATGAAACGGTCCTCCCATTATCAGATATTTCCTTCGTCGGGCAGTTAATGGAAGACCTCGGGCTTCTGCAAATGATAATGCCCTCAAAAATAGCATTACCCTTATAACAGTTGCCGGACGACTGGCATACGATTTTGGAACACTTTTTAGAATTAAAAAATGTGTACAAAATCTATAAAATGTAGTATATTAAATATGAATCCATGTGAATTATTAAGAAATACAGCATATTACAGTTTGCGGTCGGTTTAAGATTGATCACTGAGTTGAAAATCGTTTAATCATCAGATAGGATTACTTTATCATATCACACGACATATAAATCATAAGCTGATCCAGGGGTGGGGGGGGGGGGGATTTACAAGCTGAAATATGGGTATCTCGAGTAAAGAGCAATAAACTGTATATTTCTGTCTTTGAAAAATCAAAGCAAATTCGTCAAACTTATCCACAGAAGGTATTTGATCTTTCTAATGACGTCACACATGTATATTTTAAACGCTTTGGTCTAGATACAGGTTACAAGTACTATTCTGTACGAATTCACTCAAAATATCTCGTAGTTTTTCTATTACTGTTCGTTTAAGATCAAATGTTAATTTAACGCAAGAGTGCATACTGAACATCGGGAGATTCTGATCCGCTCAATTCCTGCTGCTTTCAATCAGATTTTGACTCGTTGTCATTTGACACTTTAAGTTAGGAGAACAACACGTACATATTGCTTGTTCCTTTTAATCAAATGGCTCCAGTTTACCAAAGTGAGTGAGTGAGTGAGTTTAGTTTTAGGCCGCACACAGCAATATTCAGCTATATGGGTGTGGTCTATAAATAATCGAGTCTGGACCAGACAATACAGTGATCAACAACATGAACATCGATCTGCGCAATTGGAAACCGATGGCATGTGTCAACCAAGCAAGCGAGCCTGACCACCCAATCCCGTTTGTCGCCTCTTACGCCAAGTATGGGTTACTGAAGATCAATATTCTAACCCGGATCTTCACGGGTACCAGTTCACCAAACGACTGGTCTGTTTTGAAATGTTTAACAAGGAATATTTAACGGTTTTCGAATTTACTCCACAAACGAGTGCTATCCTCCTTTTATAGAACAGTTGTCGTGATATACTCGGCGTCATAACTAGGGTCAAGCTATTGGTAACACCATTTCTTACAAGTTGTAAAAATTGTTTGAAATATATTCAACTGAATGTTTTAAAAACTTTCCAAACCGAAACATGAGCCTCATGAACCTATTCAGACAATTACCTATTTTTCACCCGATCCGAATTTTCTCGTGTGAAAGAGAAAATAGACATCACAAACAACTACGGTTACACTGAATTCCAAATTCTTGTTTCTAAAGAAAATGGTATTTACAAATGAATTTTGATTTAAACCTTTAATAACATCGTATGTCTATATTTTATGGAGAGGTGTAGGCAGCATGACCTTAACTAAGACGTCACAAACTGCCCCTGTTTGATGAGGTCGTACAATAATTCACCATGCCTCTGACTAACTGGTTACACCTGTTATGTGTTCTCTGCGCTTATTCAGAGTAGTTCTGTAACGCACAATGTGATTGATATAATATCAGTTCCGTACCAGACCGCAAAACTTTTCTAGCGGCACAGCCTCGTTTTGAGAGTTCCACAATTTCCAGGTTTCCGTTTGTCAGAGCTCGCTGTACGACAGCGCACGCTGCACAACGTGTTTGCAAGGGTTAGAAGGAGCGTAGTGTTGCAATATACAAGTGCTTAGATCAAAGTATCAAATAATACTGATTAATATTTATGTATCCAGTTGAATGAATTGGTCTCAGAATTCTGGACCGGTTATTGTACTAAATTGCGCAGTAGGACGGAACCCAGTCAACAGGAAACGGGACTGTTGTGTAACCAATGTTTTGACTTGAAACTGTATGGAAAAACACATCAGGCCGTTGAAATAATTACATTCTTTAAAGTCCGATACATTCTGTTACAAATGGCACCTTTGTTATTCAAATTGTCAATATGGAATCCAACTGCCACCTGTCAATGAATTGCACGTGCAAGTCGCTCTATCCATGGAAAGTGGAGGACAATACACATGCATTGTTGCTTTTTTCCTGTCGTTCGCTGTTCAGGTACCTAAAATCGCAGCTTAAAATGAGAAAGTTTATGACACTTGTTGAAAGGGGTCAGACTTTAGGCCTTTTGGAATCTGGTCTAACTCAGCGGCAGGTTGCTGTCAGCTTTAATGTGAGTCAGCGTGCTATTGGTAGACTGTGGCAGAGATTTCAAGCCAATGGGTCTGTGGAATATGCACATCGACCCCCAGAGTCACAACAGTCCGAGATAAAAGGCACATGATTAACACTGCGTTACGTAACAGATTCCTTGACGCAGCAGATCTTCATAGAGAACACTCATGTTAACGATGTAAGGATATCCAGGAGCACCACTTCTCGACGTTTAAGGGCAACCGGGCACCGCTGTGGGCGACCTGCAGTTCGTCCACCACTAACACCACGTCACAGGCAGGCGCTTTTGAGATGGAGTCGACATCAAGGCATCTCTAATCAACGTCAATAGTCTCGTGTGCTCTTCACAGATTTGTCATTCCATGATGGCCGGCAGAGGATACATCGTCGCAATGGAGAGCGAATCACAGATGCAATTGTGGCCACGCATAACCGATTTGGCGGGGTTCGGTCATGGATTGGGCAGGGATAACTCCTATTGGACGGTAATGCTGGCCACACTAAACCCAATTGAGCATACCTGGGATGAACTCGGTCGGTGTACACACGTCACCCAGCACTAGTGGACCTCCCAGGACTCCGCAGAGCTCTAGTAGAGGAATAGAATGCGAGTCCACAGGGTTTCATTCTGAACTTGAAAAGGAGCATGAGAACAAGGTGAATCTGTGTCTTGGACTTGCGATGAGGTTACACAAGATATTGATTGACCGAGTGCTTCATGTTTGTCATTTTCATTTTGGGAGGTTGGTCTATACAACTGATGTTAGCTAGTGCTGTTTGAACGTTTTATCTGTACGTCATGATGTGTCACGTTTGTCAACACATTAAACAATATGATGAAAGTCTTAGTTCTATTATTTATGAGAAACTTTTCTTTACATGTGCTATATATCACTTGACCCTTAATTAATGACGCCTAGTACAGCTCAGAAAGAAAATTAAAAATAGGTAAAATTACAAAGCATTCACTTGCACTTCGTTCGCCACAAGACTGATCGGTGTATCCAGTAACAAGAAATATACACATTGTTTGGAGTTCTTATCAGAACCGGATGGAGGACTAACGGACAGACGGACATGCTATTGGCTTCATCGTCTCGGTGTGATACATCCATGTCACCCAATCTCACGAGACGACCTGTTATCAGATATATCACACTTACCGCTCCTTCTCGAACTGCTGGCTGTTTATAATACTGTGACGTACACCACACGTGAAACATGGACAGTTAAGTCACATGCGAACTATTAATATCTATCTTGCACACCTATGGTGCACTTAGCCGTGACACAAATATGTTGTCATTTCAGTGTTTAGTTTGTACGTGTTGCATCACAGCAACGTTGTCGCCGCTCAGAGCGAGAGATCACAGTACTGTCATTATCTCTCCATTGTGCAAGTCTGGTTTTATAGTACATGGTATTCTGGCTTTACGTGTATCGTCTTACGCTGTGTATCTTGGTTTAATTCAGGGGGGCCATGGAGCACTGCAGTGTGTATCTTGGTATAATCCAGTACGTTTCATGGTGCAACCCATCCAATCTCCCTTCACAACCCGTCTCATCTCCCTTCACAACCCAACCCATCTACCTTCACAACCCATCCCATCTCCCTTCACAACCCATCTCATCTCCCTTCACAACCCATCTCATCTCCCTTCACAACCCATCGCATCTCCCTTCACAACCCAACCCATCTCCCTTCACAACCCATCCCATCTCCTTCACAACCCATCGCCCTTCACAACCCATCGCCCTTCACAACCACCCCATCGCCCTTCACAACCCATCCCATCGCGCCGACACCTTCCCTCCAATCATTCGACAACTATCCAAGGTGATCGAGACTTGCTACTTACTGATATGTATATCCTTCGACTTGACACATCCGACTTCATTGCACACTTCCAACACATACGCTCCATAGGTCTGCTTGTTAACTTCCTCAATGGTCAGTTGAATATCAAACACCTCCTTCTCAACGCTCCTCGTGTAAACCAAAAGCGTTTCAACAGTCTTGTTGATTACCTGCCTGTAGCCGGAATAGGGCAGCGTCAGCCTGGCGTCTTTGTACAGCCAGGTAACGCGCAACGTCGGCAACGGCGACAGTACACGTTGGGTTAAGTTCACTGATGTGGCTATCCTTTGTTTTGACAACGCGTTGGTTTGCAGAAATACAGGAGCTCCTGAAACGAAAACGTTTCTCCTAAATAAACAAAGGTGTGAGTCCGTTTCTTTATGAATCCACAAAAAACAGCTAGTTCTTTTAAAGCATGCTGAATTCATAACCTTAAAAAGAAGCATCATTTGATGAGTTTTTAAAAGACACATTAAAAGCATAACGTTTCATTAGTGAGTAACATTTATTCTGGAATTATGTACGCGTGAAGACCAACTAAAAATCTATTTGCCTAAACTGGCTTTCATGTTTCATGTCATTCTAAGGGTAGCCAAGTGGTTAAAGTGTTCGCTCGTCACGCCGCAGACCCGGGTTCGATTCCCCACATTGGTACAATGTGTGAAGACAATTTCTGGTGTCCCCCGCCATGATGTTGATGGAATATTGCTAAAAGCGGCGTAAAACAATACTCACTCACTCACTCGTACTAAACCCAAAATCCGTTGCACAGTTGCGCCACAAGATCCCAGATTTGTTCTGACGGAGCTACTTGGCTTTAGAATAAATAAATGAATATTGCTTTATGCCGCGTCAGTGATTGTCCAGCTACTCGAGGCGAGGACCCACTATGAATTTCAACACGTGTACATGAAGAGCAGTACTGAAAAGGATGATCTCAAAGACTTTTTGTCTTCAGGCTTCGTGGATGGGAGTGACTTTCCTCCCACTAGATGACGTTACAAAGGGCGTCTACACAACACAACTGATACCTACCCCGGGGCTCGAACGTGATATCGCTGGGTATCGGATCCCTCCCCAGCTTGTGGAGCGCGTCATTGGTAACGCTGCAGACATACACGCCCTCATCCATGTAGGAGGGTCTAGAAAGACGTAACCTTGACTCCATCCGTCGTTGTTCACCTTGAAGCTCACGAACCAGCTCCCCATTGTACATGTGTTTCCAGTCGCTGAATGTCACGTGAGCTGGATTGGCCCGAACTCTGCATATCAGAACTGGTTCCACGGTTCCGTTTTTGTCTGCTAGGAACTCCATGGATACCGAGGGAAGCGGGGGATCTGTAAGCCAGAGTGAGTGAGTGAGTATAGTTTACCCTGCTTTTAGCAATATTCCAGCAATATCACGGCGGGGGACACAAAAATGGGCTTCACACATTGTATCCATGTGGGGAATCGAACCCGGGTCTTCGGCGTGACGAGCGAACACTTTAATAACTAGTCTATCTTACAGACATAAATTCTGAAAAAAAATCGCAGAGTTGGTCTGATGTTTTGATTATGATCAGCGTTTCATTGAGGATTACACGATAGATTGCAATTCATCGGTGCGCTTTTTAGCCAAACGGACTGTAAATACTGAATTAAAAATGTTTTCCAAAACCTATAAAGTTTCAATATTTCCCGACATTTTCAAACACTGGAAGTAAGAAAAGGATTAATAGCTATAGATTATGTGACTATTTCCCACGTATGTATTTAGCACAAGTCTTTCGAAATTAGTTTAAGAGACCATTAAAACTTCAAAAAGAGAGAAATATTGAAATATCGTTGTCAAATTCTACACCTACGATGGCACTTGGTACAGAGGAATAAGAAGTTCTTTTAATTAAAGAGAATGCCAGTATCGTTCGGTGGCCAACGATGTCTGTCCAGATTAACTGTCTTCGGTAGCCATCACAGGTCATCCATCCAGTCGACACAGAGCGCGCTCATCAACACGCCTAGTTCAGTCTTTTGAAGAAGTATTCATTTATTATCATTATCACTCAAACATTTAAAATCATAACATATTTCTTATATTTGACTAAAAGACTGTTTGTAACATAAAAATAAAGTGGACATTGGAATAAAACATGACATTCATCCTCAACGCACTCATTACAATTAAAACACACACGTTGGTTCAGGGGCACGTTGGTGTATCGGCCCGTCTCAACACGTAGCGGGGCGACACCACAGCGGAACATGGCAAGCGCTCGGCGACACGACCAAGGGAGGCTACTCTGTTGATACGGCTCAACTCCGTACGACTGTTTAAAGTTACGATACAGTCTCAACCTGTTCTTCCCATCTCCCCGCTTACTTTTCTCCAGGGCCTAGATTTTCGAAGTTCTCTTAGCGCTAAGATAGTCGTAAGTTAATGTTAATGTATGGCACTTACGACTATCTTAGCGCTAAGAGAGCTTCGAAAATCTAGGCCCTGGTTAACTGCAACACTGCACTCCACTCACGTAAATAGTTTTGCATCACTTTATGTTCAACCTCTGATATTAAAAGCGTATTTAAAATGAATTTCCAACAGGGATAAAATGTTCAAGATCTAAAGATCTAAATTTCCTGTGTACACGTTGATGCCAATTCCGCTTACTAGACACAGCCTTAGAATGGGCCCACTGGAACACATTAAAAAATATTCTGTTCGGGTTCTGCTCGCATGATCGCTTGTAAAATCGAGCAACATTCTTCCATTGCCGGACAACCGGTAGCACCCACCCCATATCACCAGCTACAGCATTGTTCGGCGTATACTTCCTCACGCCCATAAAGTACCTCATAGCTCGGTTGTGAACAGCATTTATGGCTGGGATATAATACGTTCCCCATATTGCAGCACCGTAGTCTATAGTAGTCCATACCATGGAGTCGTAAAGCTTTGTAAAAGTCCTGTGCTGCATGCCTCCAAGGATTTTACACTTGGATATGAGGAGTCCTAGTTCACTGCTGGCTGCGCCTGCTACTGCATTCCCCATCCGGGTGTAGTTCCTATGCTCTGTCAAGAGCAGGCCGAGGTAATGGTAGCTTTCTACTATCTCTAGGGTCTTGTCTCAACACTGACATGTGTCAACCAAGTCAGCGAGCCTGTTGAGTCCCATCCAGGATTCGAACCCACGCCCTCAGAGTCAGGCACCTAAGTGCCAGCACACAAAGTGGAAGTGCGGTGGCTGAGTGGGTTAGATGGCTGACTTTGTGTGCTGGCGGTTTGGTGCCTGACTCTAAGCGTATAGACCACATGTGTTTCGTTGTGGGGCAGGACAGAAGTCTTAGAAACTCTCAGGAGTCAAGCTACCAAACCCGGTCACCCATCCAAGGACTGTCCATGATCAACGTTGCTTAACTTCACCTGATTTGTCAACCTGGATTAATACTGGACATTATAATAACCCGAGACTGTTCTGTTCTGCGGCATGAGATCGACATCCGTCACGAAGTTATTGTCAGATTGAAATCGACAAGATTTGTAGACTGTGAGACTCGCTGACAGCACAGCGATCGATTTAAATCTGTTTGCATTCAGCTGAAGTATGTACGGAGTGAAATCAATTTTCTATTCTTGTCACTTGGTCAATTATATTGAAATGTGAATATGGTCCCAGCACATTATACATCCCATTAGTGTGGCTGGTGTAATGAAGGCTGTAGATCGGCTGTATGCCACATTGAGCTCTAGTTCGGGGCCATCTCGGCGTGTGACGTAATCCTTGTTGGAACTGTGACTCTGATGATCTGGGTCTCCAGGATGATTGTACGATGAATGGGGCAGTGGAGACGACCTCACCATTCATACCAGACGGATGTCATGGGAGTATGGCTGATAAACCACAGAACGAGGATTTGTCTGACAACTGACGGGTGCATGAGACTTGTGTAGACTCTCCTTCATAGCACATCCCGGGGAGGTTGGGGGGACCCTAGCCGCTTCACAGAGCTGATTGTAACAGAGGGTTCATTTCATGAATAGTACTCATTTCAGTTATATTCACTAGCTTCCACTCCCATAACCGACAGACAGACACAATTCTGTACTTCAGGTAATAGGCCCACAATACAAACATTTGCAAAGGTTAAAGTTATATACCTGCTGAATAATGTCTAAAACTTAAGCTGATGTGTTTTCTATAGGTGATTTAATTCTCATTTTCGAACTTGTTACATGAATTTACTCAAACATTTAATATCGAACACATTGTACTTGACATCAGTCTTATCAAGATTTCAGTTGGTTGTAGGTTAATCATACAATTTAGAAAGCAGTCACCTGACTTGATGACGTCACAAGGCAACGGGTTCAAAGCAACAAAGAACCAGTTTATAGAACATCGACGTCGGTTACCTATTTTGCAAGTAAGCAGACTGGTCGGATATACGGATGAGTCACAGCACTGGAGTTGTTTGTCAATTATAGTGATGCCCTTGGTTCAAAATAATCTCTTTTATCAAGATTAGATTTTATTCTTAAATCGTCAGCGACATTTGATACATTATAATTAAGATTCTATATTTTCAACTTTGAAATATAATAGCTGATGAGTTGCCTGTTCTTGGCTTGTGGCGGCTGTTTTATAGCAAATTACACTCCACATATCAAGGTTAATGGGGAGTCGTGCCATTATATGTGAGATGATGGTAATTTAAATAAAGTAATCTTTGTTTCGTGTTGATTCCCAAGTTGAAACTAGTATATATTAAACCGACAATATGTCCATAGGCGAATTATCAGCAACACAAACAAACAACAAAGAAATGGTCTGGTCTGCTGGTCTGCTGGTAACTTCAGCGTAATGTGATATGAAAGGCAACCGCTACCTCTCATTCTACAGATACAATGTATACCGGATGAAACGAGACACAATGTATACCAGGGGGAAAATATGGGGGGGCGCGGTGGGCGAGCTGGCTAAGGCGCCAGGCTAGTGATCCAGCGAGGCTGAGGTGTCGGGATCGAGCCCACCTGTGACCGGGTGTAAAACCCTTGGAGTCAACTTTGTGTACACAGCCCTGTGCACTTAAAAGAACCCACGAATCCGTTGGAATATGACCAGATGGTGGCCACGTCAATACGTGCAAACACCTAGTTGCGGGTACAGCAACGTGCAGTGAACTTGGACAGTACTGTGACTATGTGTCCCAGCCCACCCAGCTGTGAATGGGTACCTCGTTAGGATGAGAAAGCCACAATAACTCGGTGCGCCTAGTGGCTGCAAGAGTTCTATACTCCCCACGAAGTTCAGATTATTAATACGATAAACCGATGAGATTGACATCAAATGATAGAGGGAAAACAATACCAGCGCCTTGAGCATGCACTAGTTATATATAAATATCCTTTAATAATTAAAAAAAAAGAGATACAATGTATACCAGGGGAAAAGAGACACAATGTATACCAGGGGAAAAGAGATACAATGTATACCAGGTGAAAACAGATACAATGTATACCAGGTGAAAAGAGATACAATGTCTACAAGGTGAAAGGAGATACAATGTATACCAGGTGAAAAGAGATACAATGTATACCAGGTGAAAAGAGATACAATGTATACCAGGTGAAAAGAGATACAATGTATACCAGGAAAGGAGATACAATGTATACCAGGTGAAAAGAGATACAATGTATACCAGGTGAAAACAGATACAATGTATACCAGGTGAAAACAGATACAATGTATACCAGGTGAAACAATGTAGGAGATACATGTAGTGAAAACAGATATACCAGAAAGGAGAACAATGTATACCAGGTGAAACAGATACAATGTATACCAGGTGAAAGAGATACAATGTATACCAGGTGAAAACAGATACAATGTATACCAGGTGAAAACAGATGTATACCAGGTGAAAGGAGATACAGGTGAAAATGTATACCAGGTGAAAGGAGATACAATGATACAGGTGTAAACCAGGTGAAACCAGAAAACAGATACAATGTATACCAGGTGAAAGGAGATACAATGTATACCAGGTGAAAAGAGATACAATGTATACCAGGTGAAAACAGACCTGGTGAAAACAACAATGTATACCAGGTGAAAACAGATACAATGTATACCAGGTGAAAAGAGATACAATGTATACCAGGTGAAAAGAGATACAATGTATACCAGGTGAAAAGGAGATACAATGTATACCAGGTGAAAACAGATACAATGTATACCAGGTGAAAACAGATACAATGTATACCAGGTGAAAACAGATACAATGTATACCAGGTGAAAACAGATACAATGTATACCAGGTGAAAGGAGATACAATGTATACCAGGTGAAAGGAGATACAAT